TCACTGCGGACAATCCTTGCCAGATAGCTGAACTCACCAATACCGATTCATTCAAAAGGGTGCTTTATTCTGAACATCAAGGTTACAGCAGATGGATGGAACAGCAGTTGAATGGTTATAGTATTGTGCGGTCAAAAAATGATGCCTTTCCTCGCGTACTGTGCAGAGTACATGTGTCCTTATTACATGTGGCTGTTAGCTGTGGGCATGACACAGGAAGGACTGCACTCAGGAAGAAGGGAGGGGCTTACATACAGAGGAAATGTGAGGAAAGGAATACAAGAAAAACAGGTGTGTTATCACGAAAGGCCACTAGATGGCAGCATGTGAACTTACTATATAAAACGTCCATAGAAAAATGGATAGGGAAAACACACTATACACAACATCTATCTAAATAAACTTCTATGCCCCATTGGGGCGGCACACAGAGGCCAGAGTCTTCTGTTAAATCGCGTTGTTTCCCAGTATCTTCAAAAAATCACTTCTACTGTCGTGGTAAACAACCTGCTTCCCTATTTATAATGGTCTGGCCCTCTAGCAACTTCAGCGCAAAATTATAGCTAATTTGCCTACAAACGTCAGGTGGTCATAATAAACTGGCCACTCAGTATATGTATTATTAGTGATGAGTTTGGGCTTGGTGCAAACCCTGTTTGCCTGAGTTTGCTCAAGCTCACTCAGAACTGTGACCATCATGCCCCCCCACCAGTCCAATAAGTTGCATCCGGTGCATCCCCCGCCCCACAGCTACACATTGCGGGGAATGCAACTTATTGGGCCAAAAGGGGGGGTGTTGCTCACAGTTTTGAGCAGAATGGGGCAAACTCAGGAGAACAGGGTTCGCACCAAGCCCAAGCTCCTCACTATTTATTATCTTGTACGAGCCTTTGCAGCAGCAGTAATATTTGACTTGTCCTCTCTATCTCTCTTCCACAGGGCTGACTATGAAAGGTACTGCCAGGACCACTTTGGCAATGGTCACTGCGAAACAGGATGCGATAGTGCAGAATGCGGCTGGGATGGAGGTGATTGTACTTCTAGCCATGAGAAGCCTGGAGGAAGACTTATTATGGTGCTGGGTTACAACTCCTCCATACTTTATCGGAGAGACATCATCGCACAGCTCCGCGCCTTGTCCATCCATCTCCACACCAAGATACGTCTGGAAAGTGACAGCAAGGGAGACATGTTGTTTCAATACTGCAAGGGGGACAACCCTGAAGACCTGTCTGAAGACCAGCTGGAGAGATGGAAGTATGAGACCTCCGAGACGTGTCAGAAGAGTAAAGAGACTGTTGGGTAAGAAATTAACATGAATCTGTCACCAAAACCATTGGTTAGGCTACATCAAGCATTTGTGTACTTCTCAGTAGCGGTGTCTTTTAAATATTTTCTTGCAAAACACAGATGAGCGTAAAACTCAAATCCTTCAGCTCCAGTCAAATAACTAAATACAGTCCTGGTGTTAACACTCCACGTCACACTGTAGCCAAGTGATTGCTCTCTCCAGCGGCTATTCTGCATATCGCAATAAATATAGAAGAGTACGTCCATTAAATGGGAAATATTAAAAAATATTACAATAATAATTCAGGATCTTATTTCAAACAGTTGTGTCCTGTACTTGGAGGTCTTTAGTCTGGAGTGTCCCCTGTCCACCTGCATCAACTCTTCCCAGATGGCTGCTCGTTTTCTAGAAGCTCTAAATCAGAAGGGAGAGTCAAACCTACCATACTCGATCCTGGAAGTAAAGTCTCTGGATCCACCTACAGGTATGACTATGACCACCAACACTTGCATGGGGTCATGACACAGCCAGACAATAATCCAGGGACAAGGGAACTAAAATATCTCAGTAGGTTCCAAAGAGGTCACAGACTACCAATAGCAGAGGTAACAGGATCAGGATAAGCACAGAGACGCTAAGTACAACCGCCATGGACTCTCTCTTTAGCAAAACTATACTGCTTCTTCTGTCTGTTCCCTGTTTATTTGCAAAACAAACATTTTATATAAAGAGAGAAATATTGGTACATACCTCTCTAGCCAAAACTAAATAAAAGTTTTGGCTACACAAACACTTTAGAAAGCCAATTTAAAAAGTTTTGAATGCTATACATTTTGATTATTTATTGTGTATTGAATTAGGGCATCTCAATCATTTATCGAAATATTAGGGGTAAGTGATTTTACACGTGTTTTTATTTAATTTGGCTGCACATTGTATAAAGTAAACCAATTCAACCTTAAAAAATATCAAATTGACTAAAAATATTTTTTTCTTTAATGGTTAGACATACTGTGCATTCATTTGTGCTTCTTTACCAACTATTCCACCATCTTGTCTCCTACATGACCCTTTCTGTCCCTTCTAGTCCCAGAGGTGTTGAAGAACCAGTATCAATGGCCGTTGGTGGGGACGGCTGCTGGCGTGGCAGTGGCTGTAATTATTGGAGTGTTCTTTGGGGTTCAGCTAAGCAGAAAGAGACAGCATGGGGTCCTATGGCTTCCTTCTGGCTTCAGTCGCCAACGTGCACAAGAGGGCAGCAGGAGAAGGGAGCCTGTAGGGGAAGACTCCATTCGGCTTAAGTAAGTGTGCCAGCCCACCCTGAACAACTCCATTTTCAGAGTCTAATATTTCTGACACATAAACAGAACATACAGTAATGTCTCTATGAGGATATACTTAATATTTGAGTTTTAGATGGTTACAGGAAGGTTGAATCTCCTACTACTTTCTTTGAGAGCAGCTCCAGGAAACACTGCAACTACAAAAACATTTGAAAGTCCTGAGAGTAGCCAAGAATGTAGTTTTATCACATTATTCTGTGCTGTGCAATGTCCCTATCATACATCCCTCATATGGGTAAGACTTAAGTGGGCTCAGTGGAAAGGAAGTGTTTTCAACCAGGGTTCACTCCACATAATTTTTTTAGGCTTCAATTCAGGACCAGATGGTTAATATAGTGACTATTATAGATAGATGGGTAGTTGATCGCACAAGATAATGCGAACATGAAAATGAGGACTTACACAGCAATTCTAAGTCATGGCTCTGGGACCTCAACACTCTGTCATTTAGGTATAAGACTCCCAGCCCTGGGGGCGTAAATAAAAATTGTCTACTCAGAACCACCAAAAAGGAGACAGACCAACGCTGAAATTGCACAGTATGGAGATCCTAATTACATAGTTACATAGTATTTGAGGTTGAATAAAGACATTAGTCCATCAAGTCCAACCTATTAGGATCTCATTCTAGGAGTACCCGTACCCCTGTATATTACGGTCCCTTAAGAAATCGTCCAAAAGTTTCTTGAACTGGATTATATAAGATTAATTATTTAACTGTAGTTTTATTTTCTAGGGTTTAGTGGATCACGAGTGGCCTGTTCAATAACTTGTTTGTTAAATTAAATAATTTAAATTAAATTAGATTAAGATAAATAAATTATACTGAATTATACTACCAACCTGGGTTAAATTATGGTTCACAAGTGGTACGGTCAATAACTTGTTTGTTAAACTAAATTTAATTTACACCACCGCCCTGGAAGAAGTTACAACCGCCCTGGTTAAACTTCAATTGTTTAAACGCCAATTTTTTACGCCACTTAGCTCCCAGGCACTTTGTTCTCCAAGCCCTGTGTGAGCAAGCTCAAAGTGAGTGATGCACTAGTTTATAATACACCTGCTCAATGAGAGACACCTGAGCTCAATTAACCCCTCCTCCTAACAAGAACAGAACGTGGGGATCTATTGAGTCACTACTGGGAGGGGAAGTTGAGCTGCTTTGTCATTGCTGGGAGGGGAAACAAGGTGCATTAAGCTTCCGAGTCTCTTCTGGGAAGGGGAACATGATGTGCTGAGCTGCCAAGTTATTTCTGTGAGAGGGGAGCAGGGAAAGTTGAGCTGTAGAGAGACAGACAATTCTTCTGCTGTGAAGTTTGATGATGAAGTGCTCCACAGTTGCCACAGCTATATAGGTCAATGAGGGCTTATTTTAAAGTTCATTTATTTCCTACCTAATTTACTAAATACTTGAATGTCTGTATCCTGGCCATAGGCTAACTTTTGGCAAAGGTAAGAAATAAAATTTTCTGCAGGACTCTCATTATTAACTGTCTGCTGCTGGTGGCAGATACCCTAAAACAAAGGACTGGACCACGCCATTTGCCATCTACCACCTGAGCTGCAAAAGCAATCATTGTATGACCAACCAAAGCATGGTCTGTAGTGTGTGAAGACAGGTAATAAAAGTCGCTTTTATATTAAAGTAACGGAATCTTCTCCACATGTTAAAACTTAAAAATCCTACAAAATGAATCCCATTAACGGAGCACAGTATATTAATCAAACTTGTTTATTTTCAGACCAATGAAACATGATTCTGTCTATGATGATTTAGGCCCTGAAGAAGGAATTGTGCCACCAAAATCCAGAAGACTTAAAGTAAGATGGACTTTTAAACATTATACATCTCCCTAACATTTCTGTCAGATCGTTGCCACATCATCCTGTCTATGATCTCCCCTTTGATTTCTTCAGTTGGCAACAGACCCATCCATCCTTGACCATCGACAGTGGAGTCAAAAGCATATTGACGCTGGGGTTCGTTTCCCACAATGCATTGCTCTGACACCGCCACAAGAAGAGCCTGATGGCAGGGACATTGATGTGAGAGGTCCAGGTGTGTGATTTGTTATACTATATCAAAGGCCAAAAAAAGAGGGAATTATCTGTCCCATTGGGTAGATGTTATTTCACTCCATGTCTTGGAGACACAACAGGAAATCAGAGTAAGTCTCTCCAAAGTGAACAGAAATCCACTGTTAGGCATTTCACTGTAGCAGGCTTACACATTTGAAGAGTTTCTCTCTATTCCTGTTCTGGTGACAGCTCAGAATTTGGGATTTTATTGACAAATGGAGAGAGAGTAACTCTCACTAGTGGGGACAGCGAAGCAAAAAACAAAAAATTTGTTGGTTTTAGATGCACTTTAGAATTGGATAATGTATTATGAATGTAGAGCGGGGGTGATTTACTTTCAAAGAATTATGAGCTTGTTAATTGTGCTTAGGTTGTAAAGTTTCCATGATGAGTGCAATGTTTTCCAGATGGAGTCACTCCACTGATGTCGGCTATATGTGCCGGAGGAGGACTGGAACCCATTGGAGGTGGCGGAGACCCCCCAGAAATTGAAAGCTCTGCAAGTGTCATCTCAGATTTGATTGGCCAGGGTGCTAGTCTCAATGCCCAAACTGACTCCACGGGAGAGACGGCACTCCATCTGGCTGCCCGATTCTCCAGGCAAGATGCTGTGAAGGTCATGCTGGATGCCGGAGCAGATACGAATGTGCAGGACAGGCTGGGAAGGACACCTCTCCACACGGCTATCGCTGCTGATGCTCTGGGTGTTTTTCAGGTGATGTTTATGAATTTGAAGAACAGTTAGTAGATATCAAAAATGTACAAAAGTAACCCAATCTGCTACTCCAATAATATATTGTTCCCTTCAATTCTTGTACAAACATTAGTGAAACTCTTACTTAAGAAATTAGTTGTTTTTTTAGAAAATAATAAACTATATGGAACAAATCTGCATTACCTAAAGCTGAAATAGACAAATCCATAATACATTTATAGGACAATGTATTTGGCTCGTAGCAGCCATTCAAAATCCTTAGCATCCAAACAAGAATATCACTGCTTCAGTCTGTCTGACTCCTAGGTTCAGGTATTGGGCTCACCCATGCTCCAGCTTCATTCAAAAAGGGAAGAACCATACTCTATGGATGCCACCAAGTAGAATATTTATTAGTGTTTCTCCATCCAGGTCACATTAATACTGCCTGCCATGCAGCCGCACACCTCACCCGTTGGGCTAAATCGTAGAGAACCGGTATTAGTGTGACCTGGATAGAGAAACACTAATAAATATTCTTCCTAGTGGAATCTATGCGGTGTGGTTCCTTTTTTTTTTTTTTTGTCAAAATCCTTGTTGCATTTCCAGCTTTGTATTGCAGATATGACAACTGGAAGCTGACTGGTTGATATGGGTGACATGAAAGGTTCTTGTTGGCACATTGAAGCCCCTTTGTGATCTTCCTTTGATTCCATCTCTCTCCACCAGACCCTGTTACGATGCCGTCAGACGGACATTGACGCCAGAATGCACGATGGATCCACGCCACTCATCCTAGCCTCACGCCTTCCAGTACAGAACATGGTGGAAGAACTGGTGGCATGTGGAGCAGACATAGGTGCAGCAGATAAGCGAGGTATAACTCTACTCCAGATTGCATTTTTTTCCATTGTCTCCTTGCATACCTTGCTCTGTGTGAGCAGTTTGATGTGTCAAGTTTCTAGTATTTATCTGGCTATCATTAGAATACAAACACAATATCCAGATTATGGTAAACAAGCCCGGTGCTTTCAAAACAATGAGGTAATATTGCCTTATGCCAATATTAGATTACTCAAAATATGTTCTTTGTTACTGTTTCCTCTTCTCTTTTAATCTATGGTCTTCTTGTAGGTAAATCTGCACTACACTGGGCCGCTGCTGTGAACAATGTACCAGCAATGAAGACACTTCTGTCTCATGGGGCTAACAAGGATCTTCAGGACAAGAGGGTAATATATACTTAAACTAAATTATGTGGACAGTGGACACCCCTCCAAATTATTGAGTTAATTTCTTCCATTGGAGGGTACTGTTACATCATTTTAGACAATTGCATACTTTGTGAAAAGGCCCTTTGCTGTATGCTGTTCCAACATGAGCCCCTGTACACAAAGCCAACTCCATAAAGACATGGTTTGATGAGTTTGTGTGGAAGAACTCAAGTAGCCTGCAGAGAGCCCTGACCTCAACCCTACTGAACACTATGGGATACATTTGAATACTGATTGTGAGCCAGGTCCTCTCGTTCAACATCAGTAACTGTAACTGACCTTACAAATGTGCTTCTGGCCGAATGGGCAAAGTTCTCACAGACACACTCCAAAGCTTGGTGATAAGCCTTCCTCCATATTAATGTTGATGGTTTTGGAATGAGATGTCAAATAAGTTCATATAGGTGTGATGGTCAGGTGTGCACAAACATTTGGCCATATAGTGTGGTTGGCATCAGCAAAGTGGTGATGGGTGTATTTTTATATATAAATTCAGCATTAGATTTATACTATGTGCGATATAACTTTCTCACCAGAAAAATATTCAATGTATTACCCTTCAAAAATTACCTTTCTGTTTCTTTATCTCCAAAACAGGACCAGTCTGCACTGTTCCTGGCCGCTAGGGAAGGTAGTTATGAAGCTGTCTGCCTCCTCCTGGAGCACCAAGCAAATCGAGAGCTGTGTGATCATGTAGGCCATCAGCCTCGACATGCAGCTCGTGAACGTGGACACAGAGATATCCAGCGCCTTCTGGAAGAAAGCAGCCAATTAGTCAACCGTAACATACCCGCTGTTCCTCTGGCTGGAGCTCCACAGCTAAAAAAGACCCCGCGTCCCAGAGCCAAAGAGATAACCAAGCCTGCACCTTTACCGCACATAGACCTGAGCAGCTCCTGTTATCATAATGCGCCTCCTGTTTCAGCACCTGCCTTTCTGCCAGGCAACCAGTCAGAGACCAACTGTTGTCAATCTCATCATGCTATGGTCAACTACGGAGGTAATTGTGCTCCCTATGCTCGCAGTGGCTCCTTCTCATCAGGGGTAGCAGGATGCCAGTGGGGTCATAGAGGATGGAGGGTCCATTTTTGTCCAACAGGATGTACCGTGCCTGAGGCCTCCTACTCAGCAGGAGGGCAACAGATGTCCCCTCATGCCCACTGGCTGCCAGAATCTCAACATCCACAGTCTCCAAACTGCCAAAATCCAGGCCCCAACTTCTGTTCCACTCCAGCCGGGGAGCCTATCCCAAGCAAAGACTTGCCTTGCACTCCTACTGACCAGCTGGGGCACAATATCTACCTGACCCCTCCTTCATCACAGTATGGATATCCATCCCCTGCCAGCCCTGAAGAAACACAGTCTACGCAAAAAACATGCATGCACCACCACCCGTTCCTTACCCCTTCGCCAGAATCCAGGAACCCCTGGGGAATTGCATCACCATAAAGGGATTTACAGAAAAGACAAAGTATAGGGGGATAAACTGCCATAGCGTTCAGGAGCCAGTGAGTGCACTCTCAGAATCAGCATGCACTTTTGGGAGAGTTAGAAGAGGCATCAAATTCAGATGCACAAGGGCTGATATTTTAAACGATGATAAGGAGTCAGAGAATGGACTACTGTGGAATTTAGGGCCAGTCAGAGCAGTCTTGGAACCAGCAGGCACTTTCTAACAGCGCTAGAGGAGAAAATCCTTAGGACAAGTGCTAACATGTATTGAGATCTAATGGCTACCTAGGTAATGGGATCGGTACAACCCTGATCTTTAATTACGTAGCCATCTTGATGTCACTATAAGACTAGATAGATGACTGTAAATCAAAACTTCTGCTCTGTTATGGTCAAAGTCGAACTTACAGTTATATTTTATTGTGACGGTGTCATAAAAACAGGGGCAAAATCTTACATTTCATACCATGGAAGCAGCAGTTGTTATATATTTGTAGCCAGAATAAAACATGACCCGTGCTTTGCTGCAACCATGTCATAATATACCTCTTATGAGAAAAGTGACTTGAGGAAAAAGTACAAGAGTACTATGACAAAACTGGCCTGTGAGTGTTTCTGTAAGTGTTTCAAGTGTAACTGTAAGAAAAGGTTCCTCATGGTAAGTGAAGTTAAGGGAGCACACAATGGTGTAAGATATGGAAAGCCATGGAAAGTATGTGGTGCAAATATCTACGCAGATTAGAAGGTTATTATGACCAAGTATACAGACAACCAGTAAAGACGTTTGTGGGAAATATATCTGTCATCAGGCAGACTCTTGTGGGTGCTTGTTGTGCTTGAGAGACCTTGTCAGTGATGTTGGGTTCCCATGGTATTTGAGTGGACATGCAGAGGTGCCTATTGACGTCAAGTACTCGAGTATACTCCTAAGTATTAAAAAGTAAAATTTAGGTGGCACTAGTAATACACTCATGTACATGTCACTGGTACAAATAAAGTTTTACATGTTGATTATCAAAAGTGTTCCAGAGTATTTGTGAACAGGTGCTTCTATGTGTCCCACCATATATCATTTTATCACGATAGCCTGCCAGGAGATGGACAGTTCTTACATGTTGAATGTTGGAAAATGTGAGGTCCAATATGCAGCGGCCCAACTGTGGCTTTACGAAAATATTTTGTGTATTGTGAACAGATTGTTCCATTTCTGTGGAATACAGGGAATGAACCTTCAAACGGCCTTTCTGGATCTAGTGATAATGCGATTTTCATGTTTACCATGCACTGTGTTCAAAAATTACATCTGAGCTATTGTAGCAATATGATGTTACGCCAGTACAGGATCTAGAGTGGCTTGTTTTTGGTGATGATAAGCTGCACCAGATCTCGTACGACGCATGTGCCATACATGAGTTGAGGCAGCTTGTTATTCCCTAACATTTTGCTCCATATCACATATGATGCATGCGCAAGATCTTGTATAGCGTACGCACCGCACGGGATCTGACACCGCTTGTTATCTTCAATAACAAGGCACCCGAGGTCTCACACACATGCAAGAGGTCTGGCAAGATTTTCCTGGAAGGCACTGGTGACTTTCCCAAGGGGCACCTGTGAGGCCGCGGCTACATCACCAGTACCTCAGGGAAACCAGGAATTAGTGAAAGAAATGTACTTTTTTGAAAAACGTATATGATTTTAGAAATTGCTTTTATCATGTTGGATGGACGTGCAGTGCTCTACATACTACAACTTTTTGGGTTTGAGTGGGTTAAGGTCCACTTTAAGGGTAGGTTCACACCTGGGCGACTCCTGACCGTGCGGCAATCATGCACAAAACCGCAGGTCATGGAGTCGCCCATCGCAGCCGATCGCTCTGTGGGTGCCATTATTTTCTAATGGCACCCCAGTCACACCAAGCTGCGTGTCGTGTGTGGCAAAAAAAGGTACTTGTACCTTTATTTAGCGATTGTCACGCGGATGTCATCCCACTGAAATCAATGGGGCCATGCAGCAACCCCTGTGTGCACTAGCACACGATCGTGCGGCCCCAGGACGAGCGTCCCGGGTGTCGCTGTGGTGTGAACCTAGCCTAAATGTTTCCTGCTTCAAATGTAGCTTAATGTGTCCTTCCTGATAATTACACAGAGGCAATTATGTCAATTTTTCATCCAATGAGAAGGTTGGAGGTATAAAGAGAAAGCTGGAACACCAAACCAAGAGACAGTGTTGATACCTGTTTGGAAAAGAATTACAATTTTGTGGTGGATAAAACGATATCTACATATATGTATATACATAGAGAATCAGCGGTGCCAACGAAGCCAGCGCTAGAGGAAGAGAGGCGGCAGCGGAGGGAGCAGAGCCGCATAAGCCGATGCCTCCTCTATAGCGCCGGTTCCTGTCATAGGCAGAGTGATACCAAATGCGCTCCACCTGTGAGGAATGATAGTGAAAGCGCGCTTCGCTCATTCTGGCCAGCGATTGGTTATCATATTGCTCTTGAAAAGGTACGGCACCCCTGATTGACCTGATCACCATATTTTTTTACATGAATAAGTGTGGATTGTTGGACATAAAAAAAAATTAAATAAATAAGACCTCCCCCGAAAATAAAACATTGTGTGTTTTTTGAGCCAAAAAAATATAAGACAGTGTCTTATTTTCGGGGAAACACGATAACATTTTCTCCCTTTCAGTCTTCCATACTGCACTGGTAATAAAATAGGGAATCTGACTGTTTCCTCCTTGCAACAAAAGCAGATATTCTTACAGATAATTTGATAAATAGGACCCATTACATAGTGGCGGACTTTTGAAATCATTTCCATATGTGGAGCACTTAGAAGTAACCCATTTTTTCTTATTGATGTCTTAGCAAGAGGTTTATTAGTATGTAAAGTGAATGTCTTTGGGGTATATATTTTCTATTAAAGAGTAAGTACAAATAATTGATATTGTCTGCTGTGTTTTAATGCTTGCAAATTAATAACATCTGACTATAAAAATATACTAACAAATATAATATATATATTAGGAGCAGTGCTAAACCTGAATCTGAACTCCAGCTTTCCTGTCTTTCTTGCACAGCTGTACTGGTTCCTCTCCTGGGCTTTGCGTCCCCTGATTTTACTGCACACTGTGAGCTTCTCACCATGTGTTTAGAAGCTGCAGCAAGTCACAAGCCCTCCTCATTTCTTGCGAGGAAAGGTCTAGATGATCCTGGACATCCTCCAGCCAGGAAATGAGGAGCAAGGCCTCCTCATTTCCTGGCTGGAAGATGTCCAGGATCATCTAGCTCTTTCCTCTCAAGCCTGATTGTCCCTAGCCCAACCATTTAATTCATTGGATTTCAGTTCTTTCAATCATGGAGGCTCAGCATCACACGTGGGCATTTCCTTGGGTGGTCTGTATGCAAATTCATTCAGTCTAGGAGCAACCACTCCTTCAGACTGATGCCCACTCATCAGGGCATTTTGATATTTGCATAACTCCTCCCAAGAGCCAGCCCACTGCTTGCATCAGGGTTGAGGCCCCTTGAGGGGAGTACTGAGTCAGCTTGCTGTAATGTTTTCATAAATCTATGTATGCCAGCCCTTCCAACCACATGTAAAATAAAGATGGAGACCATGCACAATGAATATAACCACGCTGTAAAAACTTTGAGTCAACTCACAACCCTCCTGGGCTCCCTTCCAACACGTTTCACTTTTAATGAGCTTGATGGTAGAGTACTATTGTTGCTTGGTTGTGCTTGTAGCAGGCAATTAAGCAGTGTTATTGCACTTCCAAATCATGTTTGAAGACTGGCTTACTAGATACACTAATATTATGGCCAGTAAAGCAATCCCCATGTGTACTGGAGCTGACTGGTTGATGCTGTGCTTTAATTACCTCCCATTACTCACAGAAAGGGACTGTTTGAGAGTAATGTGAATAGATAGGAACCTGTAGCAACCAATCAGATTACAAGCTATCATAGTCAAGAGTCATGAAAAGTGACATCACATTAGTTATTGTCAGTCCCTACATGTTGAACGCGACTCCTTGATGTATTTATTAAAACCATAAATGGTAGTTTATCAGTTTTAAGTTGACACCATTTTAATTTCAAATTTGTCAGCTGTGATGAAAATGAAGCATTACAAATGTGAGGTTGTCTCAAGAATTTATGATCTCCATAATTCCCATGGAGGGGCTGAAGACGGATGGATGAATGTGAAACCTCTTCAGGCAGATAACACAGTAAAATGTCCATATTTATTCATGACGGTTTTACAGCAGACGCATTATAGCACTTCTAAAAGACAATCTGTATATTCCAGAAGCATTACAGATACATTTCTATCATTTTTTCAAGTTATAAATGGTAATGCCTTGGTGACTGAAATGAGTACATGACCATTGTCATATGGCTGTTGAGCTCATGCGCTTTTCTCAAGGGGAATGTGTGTCCCTATCCCGTGACATAAGGCTAAAAATGGACGCTTGTGGCTCCCAGTAGTCCGCCTGCTTGGTAAGGCCTAGCTCAGTATTTTATTACGAAAAAATGCCAACTTGAAATGTATTGTGCAGCAGTGAAAGTCACAGTCCAGCATCACAGAAGAGAAGGAGGAAGAAGAAAAGAATGATAGAATGATTCAATGAGCTATATGTGCCACTGGGGGTGAATGGTGGTATTTTCTCAAGGCAAACCTTCTTTAAAGCAAACCTATCACCAGGGCCAGAAGTTAGTGATGATAGCCTGTCCGTTCCCAAATGTATTCACCAACCTCATTGGTTGAATAAAAATAAATATTTCTAGGAAATCTATGCCCTGGCAGTGATCACTTGTCTTGTGCTGGTGCAGTGCTTCATTGGAGTAGTCTGTAGCACACTCATTCATGGAAGATACATAACCAGTACTCTCCTTTGTTCGAGGTGTGTCAACAGTCCTCATTGGAGGTACAGTATGTCACCAGTACTCTTCTGCATTGGAGCTCCATCAGATGCCCTTTTCCTCATGCGTGGTATGTCACCAGTACTCTTGATCATGGGAGGTAAGTCACTGGTACTCTTCCACATTGGAGCTCCATCAGAAGCATTCTTCCTTTTGCGTGGTATGTCACCAGTACTCTTCCTCATCGGAGGTATGTCACCAGTACTCTTCTGCAGTAGAACTTCATCAGACGCACTTTTCCTCTTGCAAGGTCCATCATCAGTACTTTTCTTTATGGGAGGTACATCACCAGTATACTTCTTGTTTGGAGGTATGTGGCCAGGGCCATAATTCATAGGAGCTACATCACCAGTATTCTTCATGTTAGGTACGTCACCATTCTTCTTCTTCTTTCAATCTACTCAAAAGTAGGTGGTAGGCATATCACCAATGCTCCTCCTCAAAGGAAGTACACTCCCATTACCCTTTTTTTCTTGAAAGCGTCTTACTGAACAAGTGATGTTTCTGCTCCTACTCTGAGCTGATTGACCACTCGGACGATTGTGCTCTCCACAGTATTAAATCTATATCTAATACTGATGGTATAAGATGGGCTCTTTTCTTGTGTTCTCTTCATCTACTGTTTTTTTGTGATGTCCCATAACCCATCCCATCCCTACTAATAGTTTGGAATAAACTCGTCTGTAGCACACAAAATTGGAAGGAACTTCGTGGTGACATCCACAGTCAGCCTCAACATGGACACAACAAGTTCAAAGAACAGCAGAGGCCACTGGGAAATGTGGTTCCAAAACACAATCAACAGCATGTGCAATAGTTCCTCTAAACTGGCTTTATTTGAACTGCAGCAATGCTTAAAAGCATAATGGAAAGAACATTAATAGAGGAGTTGGGTATATAATACAGCTAAAAATATTTTTGCAGTGTGTCCTTTACTAGACAAGGTGGCAATGCTGTGCACCAAGTGCTGTTTTAATGAGCAGTCCAAGCACACACACAACATAGCAATTCCACCAAGTCGTGTTGATCTCTCTGATTTTGTTGGCAAAGTGTGACAGGAGTGAATGGAAAGTTCACCAGAGCTTTGCTAATAATGGATAATTATTCTTTGTAACTGTTTTTATACACTGTATTTACTAATGTCAAAAAAAGAAGAGCAAAACTTGATGACCAGGAAGCCTTCCCTGCTCCTTTCACACTATTGGCTGGTCTTCATGTCCTTCACATCTCTACGTAGACTTCAGTTTCTGTCTGTACCCAGCCCTATATTCCTCATACTTCTGGTACATTGTCTAATATGCAGTAGTAGAGTTGCCAAAACATTAGCCCAGTGACTGACAAGACAGTAGAGATATGGTAAAACTCTAGGAGTCTAGGAAGTGAGGCACCTTCTGCTCCCTAAATTCCAGGGTGGTCTATATTAAAAGATGAATATTATCTCATAACCCACTTGGTGTTTTTCAGAAATAACCTGGCCTCCATTTTGTATTGTCCAGTTTTTGGAGGCCAATGACAGCCAGGCAAGAGAAGACCCATTTAGGCTTGTATCTACAGTGACAATATCACAGTTTCTAAGTGGTGTAAGTACAATTGGACGGCATTTACTCTCCTCGCCGCCTCTTCTTAAGCACAGGCTCCCTTTAGAGCGGCCGGCAAATCCACTCTTTGTTCATCCAGACGATTTCCCTGAACGCGGAATAAGATCTCAAACAGATCGGCTGCAGCCTGAGGAATCGGGGGAGAGCTGCGCTGGTCGTTCATTCGCTGAGACTGGAAGGAAATACAAAATTGAAATGTAGACAATAAAAAATAAGATAAAGAAAGATAACAATTTATGTCTGAATGAAAAACTGGATCCCTGAGAAGGCGGTCTATGCTTCTCTTATGTGGGGTTGGTTGTTTAATTAAGGAAGAACTCCAGGATTTTTAAAAAATTAACCCTTCCAGTCGGGCTAACCTGGCACTGCAAGGGTTAACTGCTCATTTTTCTCTAGGAAGAAACGCTCACCCGATCCTCAGTCATGTGACATTGACTGCTTACCTCCCTTCCCCTCCTCTCTGGCTATGATATGTCCCTTGACATTCTCACATGTAATAAACCTTTATTAGATGTGATGATGTCACAGGTCCTTAGACCACTGGAGCCCGAGGGAGAGGAGGCTCTGGGGACCAGCCTAGAAGCCAGGCAGGACCCAGAATGGGGTGAGTATTTCTTCTTTATTTTCACCCCCTAGACAAAACAGTTAACCCTTGCAGCGTAGGGGTAGCTCTACTGCAAGGTCTAATTGTTAAAAATCCTGGAGTTCTTCTATAAGCATTTGAAAAGTGCAGCACTCAAAATCATCCTTAAACCCCATGAACATATAAGTGACATAAAAATATGTATACAGTGACAAAATAATTATCAGTACAAAGCAATGTCAAACAGATTCTCCAGTGATTGTCTTTTATCTTATATACACTTTCATTTTATAACTTCCAAATCCAACTATGAAAGTAAAAACTCATCCAAATCCTAAAAAAAGACTTTTCCTATGGACCTGGACTCATCTTTTGAAATGGACCTTGACTAACATCTATTAAAAAAGTCATACAAGCTTGTTACCCAGTATAGCAGTCTTTTTCCTTCAGGGTTCTATGAAATCTTAAGGTTCCTCTGTAGCAAGGGTAGCCAAACGTCAGCCCTCCAGCTGGGGTAAAACTACATATCCTCTACCTCCGGGAGTCATGCCTGTTACCGTCAGATTTTTCAATGCCTTGTTGGACTTGTAGCTCCACAACAGCTGGAGGGCCCAAGTTTGACTACCCCTGTTCCAGAGATTGCTGGGGGTTCCTTGAGCTGTGGGCAATGATGGATATTGAATTATTTGTAGATGATACATTAAGTCTGGGGCTGGAAGCTTGTAGGTTTTAGGTAGAGAAGAAGCTCAGAGGGTTCTCATCTTGAGAGAAGTATTGTAGGTTTGTTAATTAGCTACACAAACAACTCCTTAATTGTGATTGCCTGAAGAACACCTGCTTTAGTCTACTGTATATTATATTCATCCTGTTCTAGAAGCCCCCCAAAACAGAGGAACCCCCAAAACGTGTTTGCTGTTTATGTGAGATGCATTATGATTCAATAAACCTGGACTTGAAATAAATTTGAAGCACTTCCATCAATCTATGTACTGCAGATTTTCTGAGGACCTCTAATGGTCCATCTGCTTCAGATAGTTGCCTTTGTCTCAACAACCAAGAACGTTGTCTACCCATATCCGGGCTCTGTGCTCCATCTATACTACAGTGTCCTCTGTATGGTGGGAGCAGAGTTCAGTCTCAGTTCTCATTGGAGTGTACCTTTCAGCTGACCTTTATGTTGACTCATTTCACAGGTATAATAAAAACTAGATTATAGTTCCTCTTTTTGGAGGTCAAAATGAAATTCATCATCACGTGTGACATTTATAGGATGTTCAGAGGACGAGGCAGTGAATTTACACTTTAAAATTTACATAGCAGAGTTATTGCAGGCAATGTTTTAATATGTTAAATCATTTCCCTTTATCATGGAATGTTCTGTCACCTCTATGAAGATCTCTCTTACACTCAGATCTAATCAATTGATTTGATATTTTAAATAATAATCTCCTATGACCTTGGAAAATTCAACCTGTTTATGTATAAGCCGGAGATTCTTGATCTTTGCAATTCTAAGATGAGTACGGTTAGAAACTATTTTAGGTTTGTTTTTTTATCTGTCTGCATTTCCATTGAGGAGATTTAGGAGGTTATTCACTATTGAGCCAAAGGATACAGCCATAGCATCAGCTGATCCTTCGTCTCTCTTCGGCCGTCGGAGCCCTTCGATTCAGTCGAACCGAAGGGCTGCTTTACGGGCTATTCACAATAGCTGTAGAGCAGCAGAGCTGAAGGCCAGCCGTTTGCCCTATAATAGGGGCGAATGGCAGCAAGTGAGCTGCTGGAGCTTCGGCTCTGCCGATCCAGATGTTGGATTAGCTGAGTCGAAGTCCCTCTGCACTTCGGCTCAGCAGAGCATGTTCGGCTGACCGAAGGCAGCCAATGTATGGCTGAAATCAGCTGTACAAGTCAGAAGTGAAAGGCTGAACAGCGTTCAGCTCACTATACTTTGGCTGGGTTATTCACTTGGCTGCCTTCGGAGACAGGAGTTTGAGTGGACAGAAAGTGATGAGATATCTCTTTATTAGGGATAAAGACAGCTACATAAAACACATTTCTGGTACAGCGGGGAAAATTTATAACTTTGGTCAAGTGTGCTGCGTGTGCCTTCCTCTGTCCATGACCCCCGTTTCCTTCATTTCACGAGGGGTGGTCACTGAGACACACAGTAAATGAAAATTTCCCCAGTGAAATCACAGGCAGCAACAAAGACCTAATACAGGTTCTAATCCTTTATAATTAAAAAAAAAATCTGGAGTTGGGCTGCTATGGTTTTGGATAAAATAGAAAAGGGTTAAAACCTGGGTCGGGCTTTAAAGACGAAGACGCAATGACGCAATAAGCAATGAAACAAGAAATTCTGCTCTATGGCGTCATGCTGAAATACCTGAACGTTGAATTGCTGAACAATAGAAGCCCGATTTGTGGGCATTCCTATTGCATGTGTTCCAATGGGAAATGAAGGGGAGCATGTACACGTCCCCTCTCCCTGCATGGCTATTGACTGTGCATTCCTATTTTGGCATTGAGACAGAGCCGGCGTCCGACCCCTCTGTTGGCCTGTGGATGTTTTCCAGACTGTCCTTCTGACACAGCCCCTCCCTCTACATGTGTTTAAGTCCCAGGTAAGCACCTGATGCTGGAGACTTGTGCTGTCAATCAGTGCTAATTAGCTATTCATCTCTTAAAGGGCAGCATGGTCGGGCAGTGGTGGGGACAGAGGGGTGCGCTGTCAAAAACACACTAGCTCTGGATCCAAAGCACCTATCAAAACGGGACAAAGTGCTTCATGAGCTTTGTCCCTTAGGGGACAACATAAAGGAATATTGTTTTAGATGAGACTTCCTCTTTCATTTCTGTCTTGGTCTCTACTGAGAAGAATTATTTTCTTTATTTCTCCTTGTGACTACTGGAACCAGGAATGGAAGAGATAGAAGTTCAAAAATGTTAAAGTTGTCACCAGAACAAGAACAGAAGGGGGATGTTCCAATGGGGACACCTTTTCCAGTAATAGAAAAGATTTCTTCTTGCTATATAGAGATTTTGTATCACTTCCTATTGTTCCTCAGGGACAGGAAGAGAAATCCCCTCAATAGCACAGAGACAACAATAATTTAAAAAAAAACATTATTGCTGTAGCTAAACTTTTAAAAAAAGAACACTCCTCTACACGTCTGATCTTTCAGACATGGCTGCTCTTACTTGGTGCCCTAGGATAGTGGTGTATAGATCCTCCTGGGCGGGTATTTTTATTGAGGGAGGTTTCCTCCTTCGACTCCGCCCTGCCCATGATCCTCCTCTCCGTCTCTGCAGTTCTGTGACGATTCCTTTGTCATCAGAGGGTAGGGAAAACTGGCGGTAGCTGGGCACTGAAAAGTGTCGTTTTGGTGGCACAACCCGTTCAGGGAGTGTGGCTCTCTGTTCATCTAGACGCCTGGTCTGCGCAGTCGAGAGAAGATCGAGAAATTCTTCAGTGTGGAGAGAGAGCAACGAGGATGAAAGACCTGAAGGGGAAAATGGTATAGTAATAATATTAATACAAAGTACTAATTTTCCTAATTATTATACTGTACTACAGGTCTGAAGGGGATCTTTGTTTAGTCATAATAGGGCCCATCTCAGTTCCTAGCTGCTGGTGGTCCAGCATTATCTAGTCTTTCCTCCCCAGCCAGCCTGTCTCTGGCCCGCCCCTTTCATTTATTGGATGTCAGTTCTTTCAATCATGGAGGCTCAGAATCACATATGGACATTACCCAGTGTGGCCTGCATACAAATGGAGCAGGGTGCTGTGATGTTTTCAAGAAGATATGTACAGCACCCTGCCCACCCCTCCCACCAGCAATAATCTGCCTGCAGTGCATAGAGAAGCACAGAGTCCTAGGGATGATATCACTGGGTCTAAAATAAGATACAGTATGTAATGGAAATTAAATAATATACTGAATACTATCATTACATGTATTCAGGGCCGTCCCTATAATGAGGCCTGCTGCCTCAGGCGGCATGTTTCTGGGTCACAAAGACATGCCACAGGCAGAGCCTGATGCCCCTTTTCTGGGCAGAGTGTTCCAGGTTGCTAAGAGCCAGGTGGGGAAATGTGTAAGGGCCATTCACGTCTCCCCTTTAAGGTCTTAGCAACCTGGGACATCAGCTGGGCAGGACGCCGGTGTTCGATCGAAAGTTCGAACTTATCGAGTTCTGCGACCGCCTGACTTCCGGTTTCGTTAGAACTAAGAGGTTTGCCCAAGAAAGTTGTTCTGCACGAGCGCCAGCCAAGGCATTGGCCTATACACATACAGCACAGCAATGAAGTAATAAAATGAACTAGGATCACAGTAATCCAGCACGTTATTAATCTGAGTTGCCCCACTCAAGCGGCGGCCATATTGAGTGGGGCAACTCAGATTACTAACGTGCTGGATTACTGTGATCCTAGTTCATTTTAGTACTTCATTATAGTGTATAGGCCAATGCCTTGGCTGGCGCTCGTGCAGAACAACTTTCTTGGGCAAACCTCTTAGTTCTAACGAAACTGGAAGTCAGGCGGTCGCAGAACTCGATAAGTTTCCCCCCCCCCCATCTCAGGCAGTGATTATGCTATGGACACAGTTGCATGTCATACCATTATCAGAATCAGTCCTTTAAGACTCTTACTAAGATGGCGAGGACAGGAAGAGAGGGACCCCATTTTCCTAAACCAAATTCAGGTACCTACATTACTTGTTTAGATACATACATTCAATTATGTAATATTTAATACAGAGCAGTAATGCTTTGCATATTTTATATCTGCCCGCAGTTTAGCTTTAAGCTTCTAAATCTTGCAGGTTCAATTCATAGCTGAAAAAACAGAGCGCGAAAGAAACAAATCTTTGGCAGTTTCCCTTTTTGCCTAGGACATCATTCACACTGGTGATGTTACAGAACCACATTGCAGTACACTAAATACACCACAGGATGGCGCAGCAGTACCACTATTGTGCTACCTCTATAGACACATTTTAAAAGTAGTCTAATACTATAGCACAAGGATATTATTTATAGTGTGTTGAAGGAAATACATAAAGTTCTTTGGGGTCATTTTTACATATGCACAGCTTCCAGCAGAACTGTGCTTCTCTCCACCACATCAAAATAACAGCACACAGAGTAGACTCGTTCTTTGCACAGGATGTTCGCTGGATTCAGAAACGGAAATGTAGATTTTAAAAAATTGTAAATGCAACTTAAACTAAACAATCCTCCAATGTTCAGGCACGCAAGTGTGACTGGAATCTGAATCAGTCAGTGAACGGCTAATTATATCCAGGTAAACCTGCAGCTCTGCTGAAATTAAAAAAGTCCATTCAGTTTACCATAGTCTAGTTTAAAATCTGTGCTGTCACTTCTGTTTTCTCTATTCAGTGTATCTCTAATCAGATTCAAACTTCAAAGTCATGCTACGAGAAACGTCTTGGTACTGACACTTTGATACATATGGCTATCTGTATGTGGGTGGTAGGAGGGAGCACGCGGGTATCCAGACTGGGCTTTTGTCAAAACAGAAAGAAGAGGGAAGAATGCCAAGAGTACCAGTGAGGGTGAAAAGCATGACAAACTGAGGAATTTGGTCATCCCATATGTAGCTGGGGTGTCTAAGAAACTCAGAAGTGTTTTTATAAAACATCACATCCCTGTCTGCTTTATACCCAGCAATACACTGAGGCAACAACCGGTTTACCCAAAAGACCCGACGCCAAAACACAAGATGAACAACATTGTGTACGCAGTGCAGTGCAGCGCAGTGAGGAGTGCTCAGAATTGTATGTCGGTGAAACAAAACAGCAGCTACACCAGCGTATGGCATAGCATAGAGGAGCCAAACTCTCTGGTCAGGATTTGGCAGTGTACCTACATCTAAAGGAAAAAGGTCACTACTTTGAAGACAGTGAAGTACATATCCTAGACAGGGAGGAGGACTGGTTTAAAAGAGGCGTGAAAGAGGCCATTTATGTAAACATGGAGAAGCCAAGATTGATTAGAAACCTCCTAGATTCTATTGACTTATTTTTTACAGATATACCATGACCTGGATGAATGAGAACCTTCACAGACTTATAGGACAGCCAGGAACAGAACAGACAATATAATTTCTCACCAACTTCCCTGTAGTGGGTTCCCTTGTGAACTTGCACTTTGTCAGCGCACCAGGAATGTACTAAAACACAATGTTCACTCATATATAATATTAAACTCATTAGTATTTATGGGAGCAGATTGGCCACTTGTGTTGGATTGTATTTTATATTTAGTGATGTTTCTTTCCTGATAAGCATTTTATGGCTTCTTCACAAGAAGGATTTAAATCACAGATCATGTTTACAGATGGAGGAAAAGAGGAAGTAATAATATCTGGTACAATTACATTCCTGAGGTTGTATAAAACATTGATATAAATGTAATAGATGGGGGGCTGTTAGTAGATTCAGCTATACTAGTTATGTGGGGTATGAACCTGGTGGGGGGGGTACTAGGGTTGGGAAAAACTATAAATCAGATATGTAGGGCTGGGGTGAAAGAACATCAACATTACCATGGTACTGCATGTTGGTCCCCGGCTATGAGAGGCACCATCACCCTACAGTAAACATACATAGAGAATTCCTGCCCTCTGTCCCCATCAATGTCCTAACTAGACCTTTATATTCTGGAGGGTGATATGCCTCATGTGGTATCCCTTGTCCCCGCCCTGGATCCCTGGAGTTGCATGTATAGAGCGAGATACATTACTCAGTAATTCAGCTGTTTGTGTGTATTCAAACTTATCTACGTCCTCCTGATTTTGAACTACTACTTGTTGTAATGTGTGTTTCTATTTATGTTTTACTGTTCTTATTTTCTGCTGCTTGTGGCTGCTGCGCCAGCTCACTGATTTTGCCATACATGATGTGTTGTACGTGTATGTTTTCCCTTTTTTTTAAAACAATAAAAAGACTTATCTACCTCCTCCTGAAGAAGGGAGCGTTGTTCATGGAACGTGTAGGGAGTTGTCACAATTCCACTATTGGAAGTTACAACAAATACATAGATGTCTGTTCATGACAAGTTTATGGTGGGATGTGTGTAGAGGGTAGTGTTAAAAACTAAATTTGCACCAGCCATGTAATTAACTTTTTTACCAGGATTTTGATGACATTTATTCATAAATAAATAATGTTATCATGTGTACCTTTAAAGTCGAATTGTGCTTTTTTGGTAACCATCCTTGAAAATGTGAGGGATGATGGTACAGTCCCTTTAAGTCAGTGGTTCTCAACCTGTGGGTCGGGACCCCCTCGGGGGTCGAATGACGATTTGCTAGGGGTCGCCTAGTGGCTCTTGGCCGCCAGGAGAGAAACACTTTCTCCCGGAAAAATCGGGGGCCGCCGTAAGTCAGGAAAAAAAAAACCACCTTAGGAATGCATAGCTAGATTCCTATTGGCTATTTCATTTTGCAAAAGCCAATAGCAAACTAGCTATTGCACCCGCCCTCTGATGCTGCCAATCAGCAGAGGGGGACCTGAAGTTCTCCATCAGGTACCCTTCTAGTGATTGACAGCAGCAGAGGGCGGGTGCAATATGTATGTATTCAAGCAAAAAAATATGTAAAACACACCTCTAGCTATGCATTCCATTTTCCCAGTCCGCAGCTGCAGAGATTGTGAAATGTCTCAGTGCCTGTGATTGGCGCTGTCAGCTTCCTGGTGGGCTCGGCACGTGGAGCTGCGAACAAGCCCGAGCCCATCCCTATCAGTGACAGTACTGCGGAGTATGTACCTCATACGTTATATAGCCACACACTTTAAATCCAATTCTTCCAGTTCCAGCTGCAGAGCCCGGTCCTGTCTTTGCCTATAGCAGTGGTTCTCAACCTGTGGGTCGCTGTGCAAGGTGAGAGTCCTCCTCAGCTCTCTCCTAGCGCAGCAGTGTCAGTTCTCCTGCCACGCCTCCAGATGTCGCTGCAGCAGCCGCGTCATCCCTAAATTTTACCTTTGGGGGTCACCACAACTTGGCAAATGTTACCAAGGGGTCCCGGCCCTAGAAAGGTTGAGAACCACTGCTTTAAGTGGAAGAGGTCATTGATACTATGTACTAATATTTATCACACATCAGATCCCATTTAGAGTAGGAGCTGCAGTCAGTGACACAAGGTGGGCATTATAGAGATGTTCTATCTGCTCCCTGTTCAGTCCTGTTAGTTGGTTGATTTGGTCTCCTGGTTAAAGGTTCCCATTCCTCCCATGGTGTGAACCTACAGTAGATCTATGTACAAATCAGTAATTACCATTATAACTGTATGGGGAGGTACAGATGCCTAACTCCTCAATGTCACCAGTTCTAATCATATCATGGATTGCCTCTATAGGAAATCTGCTGCCTACTGGATAAGCGCTCTACAGCCCAACACTAAGCTTTTATGGAATCCATGTTCTGATTTACCAACACACACTTAATGGATTTGATCTGACGTGTCCTTTGCCCAACCACCACCCCATTCACACTGGACTTCCCATCGGTCCAGAGTACATTCAGCACTGGACAGTTCCATCATCAAAAGTGAAGCCATTACCTCTCCTGTCACAGGATGGGGATGGAGGCGCTGACTTCCAGGCTCTCGGCTTGTCTCCAAGACTCTCTCTAGATAGACTTTTATTATCCAGGAAAACGCTCTCAAGCTCCTCAGGCTGTGGAGAATCTGGAGGAGATATTTCCTGCCCAAGAAACAATAAAAAATACAAATTATAAAATCAAAAATACATATATGTACTGTAAGCAGTCGATCTGCCAAAACATTTGCTTTGTGGCTCGCTTCCCTACTACACAGTCTAGAGGGTTGCAATAGTCTGGGTCCATAGGCAGAAATATATAAAGGTTTTATTACAGTAAATTCTGAAATGGACTTTCTTGCATTTCGTGGAACGTTGAACATTTCCTAATATAGCTGAACTGATGTTGTCACATGCAGAGATGGTTTTCTCCTTCAGTCAATGATTGTTCCGGAACAATTCCCATAGACTACTGACTTCAGATGATCCCAAAGAAAAAAGTTGAGTGGTCTTGGGTCTGGACACCTAAGAGGCCATTTGAGTGGACTTCACCTTCCCATCCACCCATTTGGAAGAGTTTAAAGACTTGCTCACACCAATAGCAAAGTGTGGTGGGCCACAATCTCACCAAAACCAAATCCAACAAAGGTACGTCATCTAACTGAGAGACAACAATCTGTCACCAAATATCCCTGCCTATATCAAGTTTATGAATCCCTTTGAAAATGGCCTTCAGTCGTCCATTTTGGGTAGTTTTCAAACCAGTAACGTCCAATGTTCCAGTTGATACCACCATTAAGCTTAAAGGAGAACTATGGGGGTCAGTGTTTTTCCCCATAGTTCTCCTTAGGGTAATGGGAGGACACAAACTAGCATCCTCCCGTTACCCTAAGCTCAGTATACCGTGAGCTACAGCTCGCGGTATACTGAGACGCAGCAGCCGGAGCGGATCACGACTTAGATGACGGGATCCGCCCGGCTGCGTGAGTGACAACTGGCTCTGCCTATCTAGAGGCAGAGGCAGCTGTACCCGCCCCCTCCCCCGTCCGTTCCGCCAGTCAGCGCTGGCAGATCGGAGCGGGGAGAGGGGAATCCAGCCCGTCCCCCTGTCACGGCAGAGAGCCGTGACAGGATCGAGAGGCGAGCGAACCCGGTATGTGTTCGCTCACCTCCCGATCTACTGAGCCGACCTGTGACAGTCTCATTGTCACACGTCGGCTAGAACTATGAGGTGAGTGAAAAGCACTCACCTCATAGTTCTCCTTTAAATGAGGCTTCATCAATGTAAAACACCATTCACTCTGGATGTTATAAGAACCACTCACTATATTAAGAACATCAACTCTGCTACATTAATGTAGCACCTTCCTCACTCCCAGGGCATATGAGAGACCCCAGAGGTGGGGTGGGCTAGCATTTCACCTCATGGTCTGGTCTTCAGTGGAGCAATGTGAACAGATGGGCACCAGTCACTTTTTAATGAGAACAAGAAGGTTATTAACTCTCACTCAACACTCCTGGGAGACAAGGTTAGGGCTCAGGATATCCATGGACTTGGCAGACTTAAGACAACAATTACTCGCAGCCTTCACACATAGAGAACATTTAAGCTGACCCGGCATTCGGTGGAATCAGCTCCTGGCTGTAAGATACTGAATGGTGGAGCTACTGACTCCTTGGGGAGAAATCTCAATACTTCAGTCAAAGACCAAACTTCTGTCCAGCTTCTCAGTTTCCTTATACAGGCAGAAGTCCCTCCAAGCATCTCCATCCCTCAACTCCACACATCAGGCTTTGAACCCAGGCCTCAGTCCAAGCACATGGTCACCCTCCTCAGGCAACAGGCCTAGGAGGATCAGAGAATCCACTGCGTCCTCCCCCAGGCAGGAAGCGGGGGGAAGACTGACTTCCCAGGGTCATTCCTGAATATTTATACCAGGGACGTACCTAGGGCGAGGCGACCGAGGCACTCGCTTCAGGTGCAGGTGCGTTGGCGCAGCTAGGGCGAGGCGCGTCAAGGAGAAGTGGGACAGCACAAACTGCAGCTTCTCCTCTGGATCTCCCCCTATGGGCAGAGGCAGCGGGGATCCGAGGAGAAGTGAAGCGCTGAAGCCAGCGGGGGGCGGGGAGGGGGGGGGACGGAGGAGGGAGCTGTCACTTTAGGATGGCTGAGCAGTGAGGAGAAAGAGAGCCAATCGGCCAGGATCTGACAGCCGGCGGCTCTCTCTCTCCTCACTGCTCGGCCATCCTGAAGTGGCAGCTCCCTCCTCCGCTCCTGAGAAGAAGCTGCAGTGCGCGGCCGAGCGGTTCAGGATGGAGAGTGGCGGATCGGTAAGTATCTGGTAAGTATCTGTGATATTTACTGATCCCCTGTGTGCAGCACAAACACTCCAGTGATCAGTTGATCACTCTGCCAGTCTGTACCATGGGCAATAAACCTCCTAGTGGTTGGTCAGGGAGGTATAAACATTTATAATTCTGAATATTGCCGCCTCCGACTCTATTGACAGGGACACACCACAGCAGCAGGAAGCAAACAATTACCAGAACTTCGGAGAGACCCAAGAAAGCCGAACTATGAATTAGGTTCAGGCTGACTACAGCGTGACAACTTCTAAATTGAAATAGACCCCCCTCCTAGGGGCAGGTGGCCACATTAAATAGTTATTAACATTCTTATATTCATTGTATACACAAGTGTCACAAACTCCAACTCCCTCAGTTTGAACTTTACTGTATTAAACATTTAGATACATTTTTGCCCATGGACCCAGAATATAGCCAGACGGGTGACAACCCAACCCACAGTCCCCAGCTTTACGGCCTCCCCAGATAGCAAGGATAACTTGCTACAATCTTGTGTCAGGGTGAAATTGTAATTCTTGTTAACTTGCTGGACACATTCCTGGCAGGTTGTAGACTTGCAGAACATTTGCAGCACAAGTTCTAGTTGACACTTTTTGAATTTGTAGCAAATTTGCTTGGCAAGTCTACAGCAGGAGTCTTAGCAAGAGCTCTGCACGCTCGCTGGTCTGGAGACTTGCAATGCAGATTTGCTGTAATTGTGCAACAAAATTGTGAAGCTTGGCAAGTCTGCAATAGTTTAGCAAGTCATTTTATAACTTGCAGCTCAATTGCTTGCTATCTGGGTCCTGTGCTGCCTTCCCGCTCCAACCTGCTTATTGGACTATGAATGAGCATCAGTCCAGTGATGAGGGTCTACTTGAGCTCTCCAGTTCCTCCAAGCCTGCCTACACTCCTCTTCTTCCAGCCCATATTAGTACCTGAAATATGTTAGGATAGGTGCAGTGGGCAGCCATCAATGCTGGTATATGGACGCTGGCAGCCCAATTCCTGATGTGAAAGGGATTTGTACTGACTAAGTCAGACTTACTACGGATTTCCTGATAGAGAGGCCTTGGACTCTTAAACCCTTCTCCAATGCCATAATACAAAACTAGAGCAAAGAATACGAGTCAATAGTCGAGCCCTCACCCCCAGCAGCCATGTTTATTAATATCAAATGGAGATCTCATTGAGGTAGCCTGGGAAGCATGCACATTACCATCAATGCTGACAGTGCAGTATATTCTATAGCACAATATGCTGAGAGCCCTGTGTCTGTGGATGGCTTTATCAGAAAGCAAAATGACTGAACTGAACTCCAGGCAGATATAAAAGATAAAAATGAATGCGGCTCTGTATTATTTTTTATTATATCTACGTATTATTAAATGGAACAAGCAGTGTAAGTACCTGAATTTGACCTGGTATAAGCCTTCTGCAATCCATATACAGCAGAGCTCAGACTGGGGGAGGGAGAAGCAGCACAAGGAGCCAATCAGTTGTGCTGCATGTGCTATCATGGAGCATGCTGATAGGAGAGAGCAGAGTGACAGAGAGACAAGCTCATCAATCTGCTGCTTCTCTTTTCACTGTACAATCTCAGGCTGGGGGAGGGAAAAGACCTGTAAGTGTTAGGAACTGCAGAAGAGAAAAACCAGGTCTCCTGAACGGCCAGGCAGCTCTGTGCTACATGGCAGAGCTGTGTAAACCTCAATACATACAATACTTAATGTCAGGTCTCCTGAGTCGTGTGGTAGAGCTGCGTAACTCCCAAGACTGGATAGACAAGACCTGTAAGCGATACTTAATTTCATAGAGCAAAATCAGGTCTCCTGTCCTGTCAGACAGGGCTGTGCTGCGTGGCAGAGCTGTGTCAATCTCAAGACTGGATGTACAGGAATAAATCTCATTAGGCAGGTAAAAAAAAACTATTCCATGTGTGTGTTTAGCTGTTTGCCCGGAGTTCAGCTTTAACCTGTCTGGGCTCTTGGTGATCACAACTCCCAGAACACAGAAGGAGAAAAGAAAATGAGGAATAGTTACATTTGTCAACTTGCTTGATTAACCAGTTGACATCGCGCGGTGTTACACCCCCTTCCCATCCAGGCCATTTTTCAGTATTCAGCGCTGCGGTACTTTGACTGACATTTATTCCGTCATGCAGCGCTGTACTGAAATTTGAGCCGCTGATCGGTTGTATGTGAAACAGCCGTTAACGGCTGTAGTAACAAGCGGGTCTTTCCTGCCCGTGCGCGCGCTAGGGGGCGCGCGCGAGCAGGAAAAAAATGCCGTCTGGTGACGGCAACCCGCAGATAGGAGTCAGCCGTCCGTCCGTTTTTTCTTAACGGGCGGACGGCAAGAGGTTAATCTGGATATAGATAATGAGCTTAAAGTGCAACTGAAGCCAAACCAGTGGAGAGGGATTATACCCCTTGTCAGGTTTTTATTGCTGTCTGTGTCCCCGTTAGGGAGATTCACCCTCTCTATTCATCCTGGCGAATGTTATCACTGAAAGGGAAAGGAAATCCCAAATTTTGGGTTGTCATCAGAACAGGAATAGATGGGAAATCTTCCAATGGGGACAATAGTTCTGGTGACCTCCAGGGATTCCTTCACTTCCAAGTGAAATCTCCCCGATGGGACACAGAGGGCAAAAAAAGCTGCCGGGGGTTATAGCCTAGGGCCAGGAGTCTGTCATGGCGGATGAAGGCTGGAGAAGTCTCCTGTACTCACCTCCATGTGGCAGTCGCTCTCTCTTTCTTGTGCCACGTCCATCTCGATTGATTTTGGGTCCTCGGTGTCCCCGGTGGCGCTCATGATTCGCTGGCGGCTTTTTTTAATCTCTTCCTATCCACATAGGATTCGGCTGCCTCATGGAAGTTTGCTGAAGGTGACGATGATCTTGTTTCTGCCCCGTCTTCCTCAGACTATCTGTAGAATGAGAAGTCACAGGATTACATTGTATACATTCTCCACAATGGACTCTGACCCCGGGTCTCTTCATTAGTCCCATGTAAATATTGGACAGGTATACGGTGATTAATTAAAACTGAGCCATTGTGTAGTAACCAGGAGGACTATGTCCCTGTCTTATCTCCTTCAATGTACCAAAGCAATCCCACTGCTTGTCTGCAGCCGGTCCCCACTGGGGGGGGATTCAGAGATCACGATAAGCTAATAGTTGGAGGGGGGGGGCTACAGATAGTCCTTGGTGTAGTACAATACATATTATTATTATTATACAGGATTTATAATGGCTTACTTAGCGCTTTACAAAACTGAGGGAGACTACAATTAACAATACAATTTCCTGAGAGCTTACAATCTAGTGGGTGGAGCAAGTGATACAAAAGGTAATAATTGTGTGGGATGGTTCAAAGGAAGAAGTAAAAAGAATGGTTATGTTGAGGTGAAATAGGCTTCCCCTGAAGAGATGAGTTTTCAAGGATTGCCTAAAGGTGGGCAGAGTGGGAGATAGGTGGACAGATTGGGGTAGGGAGTTCCAGAGGGTAGGAGACACTCTGGACAAATCATGGAGACGAGCATGAGGGAAGGTGACAAGAGAGCTGGAAAGCAGGAGGTCTTGGGAAGAGCAAAGGGGGCAAGTTGGGTGGTATTTTGAGATGAGGTGGGTGATGTAGGTTGGGGGCAGAGTTGTAGACGGCTTTGTATGTTGTTAGTATTTTGAATTTTATTTGTTGGGCAATTGGGAGCCAGTGGAGGGATTGGCAGAGAGAGGAGGGGGATGGAAACCAGTGGAGGGATAGGCAGAGGGGGTTGGAGACCAGTGGAGGGATTGGCAGAGAGAGGAGGGGGATGGAAACCAGTGGAGGGATTGGCAGAGGGGGTTGGAGACCAGTGGAGGGATTGGCAGAGAGAGGAGGGGGATGGAAACCAGTGGAGGGATTGGCAGAGAGAGGAGGGGGATGGAAACCAGTAGAGGGATTGGCAGAGAGAGGAGGGGAATGGAAATCAGTGGAGGGATTGGCAGAGAGAGGAGGGAGATGGAAACCAGTGGAGGGATTGGCAAAGGAGAGCGGGGGACACTGATCAGTTGGTAAGGTGGATGAGTCTGGCAGCAGCATTCATGATGGACTGAAGGGGGGATTGCCTGCTTAGTGGTAGGCCAAAAAGGAGGGAGTTACAGAAGTCCAGGCGAGAAATTACAAGGGAGTGAATTGGAAGCTTTGCAGTGTCGTTTGTTAAAAATGGCCAAATTTGGGAAATGTTGCATTTGAGTTGGCAAGATTTGGATAGTGATTGGATGTGGGGCTGAAAGGAGAGCTCAGAGTCAAGGATTACGCCGAGCACCCTGGCTTGATGGGAGGGATTGATTGTAGTGCTGTTGATTGTGATAGGAAAGTTTGGAGAGGGGACCCTGAGAGGAGGAAATATTAGTGCCTGGCAGTGCACAGTATGGCTGAAGAGGCCGTACCCCACCAAAGGACGACTCAACTGTGATAAGAGCGCCTAGTACAAAGTCACCTTGACAAAAGTTACAAGACACCCCCCTGCTCCTTCTGTCTCCAAGCTAGTAGATGGACAGCTGCTGGAGTCTGCTCTGTCCCTTGTGATCTTGTACGGGACAGGAAGTTCAGAGAAGCCAAACTGAGAGAGTTGGAGCTGGTTGATGACTGTAAGTGCTTGGACAAATATGTAAAGAAATATTTTGCTGGGCGATGTAGATTTGTTTGATCCGGATTCATTGTTACAAAACGTTTGAGCTTTAGTAGTATAAGAATAGGCTGGAAGATGTGAGAAAAGAAGCCTAAAGCAGACAACATCTCTACACAGAGGGCAAATATAACCGCCATGTACACAAAGACTGGTGACTCCTCGGACCACAGAGCTTACACTCTCACAGCTCAGATGTTATTATCATGTACTCCTATATCATTTATTGTATGATGTTTGCACATTGGTATAATTTAACGTCCACGAGCCACCTCTGTGATTATAAAAGCAAATCATTATAATGATAATAATGATAATAGTGACAAGAAGTATAAAACGAAAGTGATGGTGTGAAGACGGAGGTCCTGTGTAGCAGGGAAGTGAATTGAGTCATCTGTAAGATACGACGCCTACGCTTCTATCACATCCTTGGCCCCTTTCTGGGCTGCATGGTGGATAGGGGGCAGAGACATACTGTAAATTACAGCAGAAAATCTCCCCGCTGGAAATTCCAAGAGCCGTAGTAAATAAACATAAATAAATATATGAATAACAAATCAACAAAATAGATATATGCATAAATAAATACATAAGTAATACATATACAGTATAAACAGTGGCGTCACAAGGGGGGTGCGGCCCACACCCGGGTGCCCCCAGTGGAGGGGTGATACCAAAATGACTGACAGTCATTTTGGTGTCACCCCCTATGAAACGTCGGGCACTCGGTCATGGACTGAGAGCCTGACAGTGTCAGGAGAGAGGAGGGGACCCGGAGGCATACCTTATCCCGCCGGGTTAATGTCCCCTCCTCTCTCTGCCTGCGTCCATCAGCAAGATGACCGCGCATGCGCAATGACGTCATCGCACACGTGTGCGGTGAAGTCACGGTGGTATAGTATACGGTGAGTATAAATCATAAAGAAATATAATAAAAATGTATTTTGTAAAATCGAAAGTCAGCGTTGTCACTAGGGAACTGCTCGAACTATGGGGTCAGGGCTTTTCCCCATAGTTCTCCTAAGGGTAACGGGAGGACACAAACTAGCGTCCTCCTGTCACCCTACGCTCAGTGTATAGGGAGCTACAGCTCGCAGTATACTGAGATGCGGCAGCTGAAACGGATCCCGACAATTATGTCTGGATCCGCCCAGCTGCGTGAGTGACAGCTGGCTCTGCCTATATAGAGGCAGAGCCAGCTGTACCCGCCCCCTCCCCGTCCGTTCCGCCAGTCAGCGCTGGAGGATCAGAGCAGGGAGGGGGGAATCCAGCCCCTCCCCTGTCACGGCTCTCTGCCGTGACAGGATCGAGAAGTGAGCGAACGCCGGTATGTGTTCGCTCACTTCCCGATCTACTGAGCCGTCCTGTGACAGTTTCATTGTCACAGGACGGCTAGAACTATGAGGATGAGGGAAAATCACTCACCTCATAGTTCTCCTTTAAGAATGAACCCAGTCTGAACCTGAACTGAGCCCTTGCAATCACAGAAGTGCCATGGGCACTTCTACCCAATCAGCTGCAGGCTGGGCATTCCCCACCCCCCAGCTGCATGTAAACAAAGGGGCGGGATGCTTGTGCTGAAGTCATTGACCTTATATGGGCCACATAGCCATATTAGGTAAACTTCATTTACCAAATATAGACATGTAGCCTTATAAGGTCAATGACGTCACTGCATCCCGATCCTTTGCGTATTTCAAGCTGCAGACGGGGAATTCCCTGGTTGGCGGCACTGAGGGAGCTTCCTTCCATGTTCAGGAGGGGATCCCTCTGTGTTCCGAGGATCTCAGATCCGTGCCAGGTTCAGTCCAAACCTGAGTGCATCTCTAAATGTCACCCTGTAAAAGCAAGTGGAAAAAAATTACATTTTTAAAATAAAAATTTTTTTAAAATAAAATTTTTTATTTTAAAATAAAAAATAACTCACTGGCAGGATCACCAGGAAATTACATGTTGTTATAGCGTGCAGAGAAAACCAAAACCTGTTCTTGCTCACAATTCCACAGACCCTGTATAGTCCAGTCACCTCTTGGCAGTGCTTTTGAAATCAATAGGCCTTCAATGCCCCCCTCCATGGCCCCCTGCCGTCCCAAAAATCGGATGTGACCCTTTTTTTTTGCAATGCAATGGACTCAGCATACCATCAATGCCCCCTGCCGTTCCAAAAATCGGATGTGACACTTTTTTTTTGCAATGCAATGGACTCAGCATACCATCAATGCCCCCTGCCGTTCCAAAAATCGGATGTGACACTTTTTTTTTGCAATGCAATGCACTGAGTGTACCGTCAATGCCCCCTGCCATTCCAAAAATCGGATGTGACCCTTTTTTTTGCAATGCAATGGACTCAGCGTACCGTCAACGCCCCCTGCCATTCCGAAAATCGGATGTGACCCTTTTTTTCCCCAATGCAGGTGCGTTGTCTTAGTTCATATGCATGGCACTGCAACACAGAATCATGATGTCACTGCTACTGACAAGGTAATGTCTGGGTTTGCAAAGGCATTTTGTGCAGACAAAGCAGATGTATGTCCCTTGCGGCCATTGAGGAATACATTAAAAATGAAAGTTTTTGCGCTCAGAGTTCAGCTTTGATGTTGGATCTCTTCCTCTTCTAGATATCAGGACGGCAGACACTTCCGCCGAGCACAAGCGCAGCTGGCAGGTGGCTGTTGTAGAATGATTTGCAGCGATGTGCTAACCCCAGACAGACATTTATACAGGAACAGGATCTGAGTTTGCGATTTAAAGAAACCGACGGCCTCCTTGCCAAACCCGTCTCCGTTATTATTTGCTCCGTACAGTTACAAATGTGCTGCAACAACAACAAAATAAGGAAGCCGCCATTCCCTTTCTTTAGAACGGAAACGTTCGCAGGCGAGGATCACCCTAACTTAGGCGTGGGCGAGTTTTCACGCGGCGGAGTCTTAAATATCAAAGTGCTTTTGCAAGATGTGAGCTGTGATCGCAGCTTCTGCGGCTCAGTGATAGGTCAGAATGTATTTCTTATAACCTGAAAACGGGAATTATTCTGTATCGAGCTCCGAAAAGAGAACCGGTCCAGACAAAACACAACTTTATAGGTA